CTAGCTTTGAACTGTAATCCTCAGATCTCAGCATCCTGAGTAGCTAAGATTACAAGTATGAGCCACCAAGCCCAGGCTAGTTTTAGGGTTTTGCTAGGGATTAACACCAGGGAATTTAGCAAATCCAGTCTGAGAGCTTGGTGAATTTTCAGTGTGTGGGATGGAAGAAGAGTCAGTCTTTTGGGATCAGGCTTCAAGTTTCTTTCTTTTTTTTTTCTTTTTGTTCATGCCAGTACAGGGTTTTGAACTCAGGGACTCACACTCTCACTTGGCTTTTCCCCTCAAGGCTGATACTCTACACTTGGGCCACACCTCTACTTTTGTCTGGTTAACTGGAGATAAAAAGTATTTTTCTAATGTGAAAACCTGATTATAACCTTAAAACCACTTCATGGAAAAGTAAAGCTGTCGCTCAGAATTTAGCTTTAGGAATATTTGTTGCCAGCTGGGCACTGGTGGCTCACACCTGTAATCCTAGCTACTCAGGAGGCTGAGATCTGAGGATCACTATTTCAAAGCCAGCCTGGCCAGGAAACTCCATGAGATTCTTATCTCCAATAAACCACCAGAAAACCGGAAGTGGCACTGTGGCTCAAGTGGTAGAGCATTCTTCTTGAACTGAAAAGCCCAGGGACAGCGCCCAGAGTTCAAGCCCCACGACCGACACACACACACACACACACACACACACACACGCACACACAATGTTTGTTGTGGGCGAATGATATAGCTCAGTGGTAGAACACTTACCTAGTGTGTTTGAGGCTCTAGGTCCAAATCCTATATGCATGCTCATGTGTGTACACATACACACACAGAGAAAAGAATATTTACTATAATGCCTTTGTTGGTGATACTGGGGTTTGAACTCACAGCCTCACATTTCTAGGCAGGTATCCTAACATTGGAGCCTCTTGTTAGACCTCTTTCCTTCCTGACTTATTCTCTCTTCCATGATTCTGGCTAGCCCCACAGCTTTGAATACTATCCATGTGTCAATGGCATCCAAATCTCTCTTCCTGGAATTCTAGACTCATCTAACTGTTTAAATTGGTAGCCCCACTTTAATATATCCCAAATCAGTGGAGTTGTGGCTCAAGTGGTAAAGTGTTAGCCTTGAGCAAAAAAAGCTCAGGGACAGTGGCCAGTCCTTGAGTTCAATCCCCAGGACCTGCACACTAAAAAATAAAATACTGCCAGGAGCTGCTGGCTCATGCCTATAATCCTGAGATCTGAGGATGATGATTTGAGGCCAGCCCAGGCAGGAAAATCCATGAGACTCTTATCTCTAATAAACTACTCAGAAAAACACCAGGAGTGGTGCTGTGGCTCAAGTGGTAGAGGGCTAGCCTTGAGCAAAAGAAGCTCAGGGATAAGCCCCAGGACTGGCATCAATCAATCAACCAACCAATCAATCAGTACCACTTCCAAATAGAATATATCCTGAATTGAACTATTTCTCATCACTTCCACTGATAATAACTTCATCTAAGCCATCATTATAAATTGTAAATGCCTTCTGATATTTTTTAATGTAAAGTTTTGTTTTAAACTGTTTCGTCGGTCGTGGGGCTTGAACTCTAGGCCGGGGTGCTGTCCCTCAGCTCTTCAGCTCACTTGAGCCACAGTGCCACTTCCGGCCTTTTCTGTCTATGTGGTGTTGAGGAATCGAACCCAGGGCCTCATGCATGCAAGGCAAGCACTCTACCGCTAAGCCACCTTCCCAGCCCTCCTTCTGATTTCGTGGGTCTCTCTCTCTTCCTCCCTCTCTCAATCTCTCTCTCTATTCCCCCTCTCTCTCCTGGTACTGGGGCTTGATATCATGACCTGGTGCTCTCACTTGACTTTTTCTGCTTAAGGCTGGTGTTCTACCACTTTAGCCACAGTTCTATTTCCAGCTTATAGCTGGTTAACTGGAGATAAAGAGTCTCATGGCCTCTTCTTCCTTGGCTGTTTTCTAATAGTGATCCTCAGATCTCAGTCCCTTGAGTACCTAGGATTACAGGAGTGAGCCACTAGTGCACAAATCCTGACTCTCTCTTTTGCTTCCCATGTAGGCCAGATCAAAATTTCCCATGGCACCCACCATACTTAGAATCAGTCCATCTTCTTGTCTCAGCCTTTGAAGTCTTGCTCCTCTCTCCAACCCCACTTCTCCCATTCTACCCTTATTTGTCATGCTCATCATACTAGCCTTCCTGTTGGTCCAGAGATATGCCCACTCCCAACCTCTCCAGTCTTCCCATCTTGGGGACTTGGCACCTGTTGTATTTTTCTAGAACAAGTTCCTCCCATTTTGTTTTTTTCTTTTGCCAGTACTGCGTTTGAACTCAGGACCTCTACTTATTTGGCTTGCTTTCACAACTGGTGCCCTATCACTTAAGCCATGCCTCCAGCCTTGCTTTTTACTGAATTTTTTTGCTGGTCCAGGGGCTTTACCTGAGGGCCTGGAGACTGTCCTTGAGTCTCTTTGAGCTAAGAGCTAGTGTTCTACCACTTGAGCAACAGCACCATTCCTGTTTTTTTTTTTCTGAGTAGTTTTTGTAGATAAGAGTCTCATGGACTTTTCTTCCCTGGGCTGGCTTCAAACTGTGATCCTCAGATTTCAGCCTCCTGAGTAGCTAGGATTATAGGCATAAGCCACTGGCACTTGGCCTTTACTAAATATTTTGGAGATGGTGTTTTGTAGACTTTACTGCCTAGGCTGTCTTTGAAGTGAGATACTTCAGATCTCAGCTCTCTGAGGAGCTAAGATTACAGGTGAGTCACCAGCACTAGCTCTTATTCAGGTTCTAACTCAGAGAAATTTCCCAATCTAAAGTAGACTAGCCAGTCACTGTCACATTATTCTCTTCTAGTTCTCTTAATCATACTTAGCTCCTATCTAATATTCTCCCATATGTTCATTTACTTTTGTTTATTGTGTCTTTCCCTAACTAGAATACATGTTTTTCTGACATTAAGAATCTGGTCTACACATTTTTTTTCCCTACACTGGGGTTTAAACTCAGGGCTTTACACTTTGCTTCTAAAGGAGCTTTACTAATTGAGCCATACCCCCAGGCCTGGGATCTTGTCTGTTTTCTATACCCCCAGGCCTGGGATCTTGTCTGTTTTCCATATACCCTGTACCTAGGACAATGCACAGAATACTCAGTAAGTAGCTATTGAGTTAATCAGTGAATAAAATGGAAGTAAGAGTCTAGGAAAGGAGAAATGGAGTAGACACTGAAGTGACCTATCTGTGCATTGACTTTGTAGATGGGGTAGACACTGAAGGAATCTAGTGATGTACTTTTCTAGTGGTTCAGTGTGTGGGAAAGAAGTATCTCAGTCTTGAGACCCAAATCTGTGAGGGAGAAAATACAGGGACCAATCTGGGGTGCTCAGTTCTAGAGAGAGAAGTCTATAGGTTTTCTGATCAGACTAGAAGGTTCTTTGCAGAGTTCATTGTGGGGAGTAGCCAGTGGGTATGGCACTGGCCACTTTAACTCTGGTGAATAGAAAATCAGAAGTTTGATGACACAGACCTCTTTCTGATGTGCTTAGTCACAGAGACTCAGTAAAAAGGTCCTAGCCTGAGGGTGTGGGGTGACAGGCTGGGCTCTCAGTTTGATGGTGGCTCACTCCCTAGGAGTTGAGGCCCAGTTTCATTTTATTCTTGTTACATCTTCATGTGGGGATGCATCTAGGGGTCAACCTCAGAAATAGATAGATCTACCAGGTATCAGTGGGTTACACTTGTAATCCTAGCTACTTGGGCCTCACGATTCTTTTTTTTTTTTTTTTTTTGGGTCCAGTCGTGGGGCCTGAACTCTGGGCCTGGGCGCTGTCCCTCAGCTCTTCAGCTCAAGGCTAGTGCTCTACCACTTGAGCCACAGCACCACTTCTGGCTTTTTTCTTTTTGCTTATGTGGTGCTGAGGAATCGAACCCAGGGCCTCAGGCATGCAAGGCAAGTGCTCTACCACTGAGCCACCTTCTTAATCCTAGCTACTTGGGAGGCTGAGATTGGGAAGCGTGTGGTTTGAGGTGAATCTGGAGCAGAAAACTTCATGAGAACACTTCTCAACCAACAGCTGGACATGGTGGTTCATGCCTGTTACCTTAGCAACAATGGGAAGGCAAACATAGGTAGATCATTCCCAGGTACATATCTGGGTAGGAAGCAAGACCTTATCTCAAAAATAACCCGCAAGCCAGGCACTGGTGGCTTTCAACTGAAATTCTGGGTACTTAGGTGGCTGAGATTTGGAAGATCTTGGTTTGAAGCCAGCCCAGGCACAAAAGTCCACAAGACTCCATGTGCAAAATAACCAACAAAATCTGGCTAGAGTCATAGCACCTGCTTAGCAAGTGTGAGGTCCTGAGTTCGATCTCCAATTCCATTAAAAAGAAAGGATGAAGACCGGCATAAGTAGCTCATACCTGTAATCTTAGATATTCAGGAGGCTGAGATCTGAGGATCCAGTGTTAAAACTAGCCCAGGCAGGAAAGCCTGTGAGACTCTTATCTCCAATTAACTACCAAAATAATCTGGAAGTGGAGCTGTGACTCAAGTGATAAAACATTAGCCTTGAGCAAAAAAGCTCAGCGACAGTGTCCAGGCTGTGAGTTCAAGTCCCAGGACCAATGTGTATGTGTGCATGCACATGCACACACACACACACACACACACACTTGCACGCCTGTGCATGCACACACAGATGAATCCCTTTAGGGAATCATTCTGGATAAACTCTTCAAATGCTAGAGTCCCAATTAGGAAGATGCTCATGAGGAACTCCTCCCAAATATTCTTTCTGGATACTTAGGTTGGAATCCCAACCTAGAGATCCATCCTAGGGTCTCACATCAGAGCCTTAATACAGGCCTTAGAGTTTAGAGGTGGTATTGTGGGATATTAAGTACATGATCACGAAAGGGTAATCATATGAATTCAGTTTTGGGATCCTGTCTCAATATCTGGCATAGGGCTGCCAGTGTGGGTGATCACACTCACTTTGGGCATCCTTGCTGTCCGGGGAGCCATGAGGCAGCTTTAACAGATAGTCCTTGAGAAGCAGCTCATAGCGTGGGATGCGCTGCACAGGCTCCAGCATGTGGTGCTGCAGTGTGAGGTTGCCACAGGCTTCTTCCTTCTGTGACAAGCAGAAGCAGAGGGGCTGAGGTTCGGCTGCAGACCCCTGTCACCAGGTCCCTGAAGATCTCTCCTCCCACAGTCTGCTCCTTCCAGCTTTAACACTTACCTGCACCTCATGGATGATAACTTTAAACTGGGTGGAGCGCTCTGTCCAGGTGTTAACCAGCTCTACAGCCCGGTCAAAGTTTTTCACATACTCGCCATACATCTTGAGGAAGGGGGCCAGCTTCTGCAGGATGTCTCCAATGCGTGGGTAGCGGTCCCTGGAGTAGAAGCAGAGGCTGACATGGTCCTGCTGATCCTTAGTCATTAGGATCTCTCCCCACAGGCCTCCAGCCCCAGGCAGACCATTGAAAGCCCCTTTTTTCTTTCTTTCTTTCATTTCTCTTTCCTTCTTTCCGTCTTTCTCCCTCCCTCCCTCCTTCTCTCCCTCCCTCCCTCCTTTCCTTCCTTCCTTCCTCTCTCCCTCCCTCTTTTTCTTTCACTTTGTGCCAGTTCTGAGGCTGGAACTCAAGGCCTGGACACTGTCCCTTAGCTTTTTTGACTCAAGGCTGGCACTCTACCACTTGCACCACAGCTCCACTTATGATCTTTTGCTGGTTAATTGGACAAAAGAGTCTCACAGATATTCCTACCACACTGGCTTTGAACTGCAATCCTCAGATCTCAGCCTCCTTAGCAGCTAGGTTTAAAGGCCCTAGCTACACACACATTGTACCTTCTTTGTTTTAATTCATTCTTTCTGTAATAAACTTGTGTGTGTATCTGGTACTGGGGCTTGAACTCGGCCTGGATGCTGATGCCGTCCCCTTAGTCTTTTCACTTGAGGCTGGTGCTCTAACACTTGAACCATACCTCTATTTTTGGCTTTTTTCTTGTTAATTGGAGATAAAATTCTCTGAGATTTATCTCCCATGGCTGGCTTTGATCTGTGATCCTCAGATCTCAGCTTCTGGAGTAGCTAGGATTAAAGCCATGAGCCACCAGACACCTGGCCTTGAAACACATTTCTCAGCCAGTCTGCTTGATTGGAAATGCAGTTTACATGATAGGCCAATTAGGATAACAGGCTTGCTTTGACCTGAGATCACAGCTTGAGACAATATCTGCCCCAACTCTATCCTGCCCACACCTGTTCTGGAATGGTCTCCCTGAGCTTATAGCAAGGCCTACTTCATATACTCATTATTGATTCTGTGCCTGGCCTTATACTGGATACTGCTGGGGACACAGAAAGTCATCCCACATCGAGCCTTAACAGCATCACTGTCTGGTAGGGGACACAAAGTGATCACTCCTCGTCTCATCAATCACAGTTTGATGTGGGAAACAGACCAGACCTGAGGTCGCAGGTTTTGTGTGTGTGTGGTGGGGAGGGAATAGCAGAACCATCCCTCTGTGGTCACATTCTGGGTAGAGGGACACACTTCATTCTCTGTGTATAGAACATGGAGATGATTTAAGTAGGGACTGACATGGTCTGATTTTTGTTTAGAAGATCATTCAAAACCATGGCACCAGAGGCTCATGACTATAATCCTAGCAACTCAGAAGGCTGAGATCTGAGCATTGTGTTTCAAAGCCAGCCCAGACAGAAAAGTGAGACTCTTAACTCCAATTAACCATCAAAAAACCAGAAGGGAAGATGTGGCTCAAGTGGCAGCATGCCAGCTTAGAGCAGAAAAAGCCAAGTGAGAATAGCAGGCCCTGAATTCAAGCCCCAGTACTGGCACGTTAGAGAGACACAGAGAGAGAGATGAAAAAGAAAATGAAAGAGAAGCTAAGTGCCAGTAGCTCATGCCTGTTATCCTAGCTACTCAGGAGGCTGAGATCTGAGAACTGCAGTCGAAGATATCCTGGGCAGAAAAGTCTGTGTGACTCTTATCTATAAGTAACTACTGAAAAAGCTGAAAGTGGAGCAGTGGTTAAAGCAGTAGGGTGCTAGCCTTGAGCATAAAAGTTCAGGGACAGCACCCAAGCTCTGGTTCCAGGCCCCCAGGACTGACAAAAAAGAGAGACAGAAAGAAAAAGAAAGACCATTCATATAAAAGAAAGACCAATCATCAAAAAAGAGAGACAGAAAAAGAAAAAGAAAGACCATTCATACAGGCAGCATAAAATCTAAAGGCTGGCTGGCTGCTGGTGGTTCACCCATGTAATCCTAGCTACTCAGGAGGCTGAGATGTGAGGATCGTGATTCAAACCCAGCATGGGCAGAAAAGACCCCATGAGACTTTTATCTCCATTAACCACTCAAAAACCGGATGTGGCACTGTGGCTCAATTGGTAAAGTGCTAGCCTTGAGAATAAAGAGGCTCAGGGACAGCACTTAGGCTGTGAGTTCAAGCCCCACAACTAACAAAAAAATCTAAAGGCTGGATTGGAAGAAGAAAACCTGGAGGTGGAAGTTTGCCCTTTAACCCTACTCTTCACAGTCAGGACCCAGCCTAGACATTACTTCCTCTCTGAATCCTTCTCTGCCCCTAGGCTATGGATCTATTTGTTCACATCCCATTCTCACTTCCATCAAGAACTTAAAAATAACAGCTCTCAGTCATGAAACACCTGTACATCAAGTATTTCCTAAACTGTCTTCAAGTATTAACACATTGACCAACTCTTCTTATTATTATCCCCATTCCAGCCTGGATTTGGCATGCAAATGGACAGAAGAATAGGCACCCTGGTGCTGGGGCCTCTCACCATTCCTCCATACGCTTCTCCAGCTCTGGCAGCAAGAACTGTTGATGGAAGCAATAGATGGAGCAGATATTTGAGAAGATGCCGTGGACCACATCAGCAGGGAAGGAACTGCGGTTCCGAGCTTCTTCCAACAACCGGGCACAAAACACCTGTGGAAGAGGGCAGGCCTTCTCAACCCAGTTAGGCCTCAGGCTTAGCTGGGCAAGGGGCAGCTTACAGGTGAGGGTCATGTTTGTGAGTAGCTTTGTGGAGCTATGGGGTTAGCATTGGTTTTCAAAATGAGGAGCGAAGGAATGGAAATAAGTTATATATGAGGTTGGACTATAGGTTGTCAAAGTTAAAACCTAGAGCTAGGTGTTGGTATAAGGAGAAGTCAGATTCATGGTCAAGGTCAGACTGAATGAGAAAAATAGTTGAAATTCAATCTATTCATTTATCAAAGATTTTTGATTGTCTCCTGCATTGTTAGACACTATCCTGGGGCTGGGATGGAGCAGGCAATAAAGCAGACACAAATCTTTACCCTTGGGGATTCTAGTATATTAGGGGTCAGGAACAGGCCATGGGGTAGAATAAGACTCACAGTGAGGGTAAATTCAAGATCAGGGGAAAAGAGTCAGCATTCAAGTCAGAGCCACAGTCAGGAATGATATATCTGCTCACAGAAGTGAGGGTTGATACAAGGATCAAACTTCAGATTATAATCAGAGTTGGCTTCATGAACAAGTTGTCTCTTGGTCAGAGGGGGGCCTTAGCACCTTTAAATGCTGGCCTCAGTGGTGTGATTGGGCTCGGCTTCTATCACTTTCCCCTTGGAACTTCCTACAAGGTTCTGGGGTCCCAGGACCTGTGAGGGGCCATTCACCTGATCCAGAAGATGAAGTCTAGAAACATAGGCCTTCTCAGTTTGCAGGAGTTCATTGGCAATGTGGAATACCTTCTGCTGCACAGTCAGCTAGAAACAAGGAGATAATCTCTGATCATAACCCTAATATAAGCCTTGGAATTTTTTTGTCAGTCATGGGGCTTGAATTCTGGGCCTGGGTGCAGTCCCTCAGCTCTTCAGCTCAAGGCTAGTGCTCTGCCACTTGAGCCACAGTGCCACTTCCATTTTTTTTCTGGTAGTTTATTGGCGATAAAAGTTCCAAGGACTTTCCTGTCAGGGCTGGCTTTGAACCGAGATCCTCAGATCTTAGCCTCCTGAGTAGCTAGGCTTGAAGTTGTGAGCAATTGGCGCTGGGCTTCCTGGAAATGTTTTATTTTGATACCGGTCCTGGGACTTGAACTCAAGACCTGGGCACTCTCTTTGAGCTTTTTTTGCTCAAGGCTGACACTCTACCACTTGAGCCACAGCTCTAATTCCATCTTTTTGGTGGTTAATTGGAGATAGGATTCTCACAGACTTTCCTGCCTAGGCTGGCTTCGAATCACAATCCTCAGATCTCAGCCTCTTGAGTAGCTAGAATTATAGGTCTGAGCTGCCAACACCTACCTTCTTCTTCTTTATTTGGGGGGTGGGTACTGGGGTTTAAACTCAGGGCTTCACATTTGCAAGTAAGCACTCAATCTTTGAACCACATCTCCAACCCTTTTTGCTCTGGCTATTTTTATGTGTATGTGTATGCCAGTCCTGGGGTTTGAACTCAGGGCCTGGGTGCTGTCCCTGAGTCTTTGTGCTCAAAGCTAATTCTGTACCACTTGAGTGACAGACAGCATTACTTTGGCTTTTTTTGGTGCTTAATTGGAGATAAGAGTCCTATGGACTTCCCTGCCTGGGCTGGCTTTGAATGAGGATCCTCAGATCTCAACCTTCTGAGTAGCTAGGATTACAAGCATCAGCTACCAGCACCCAGCTAATGGAAACTAATATATATATTTTTTTGGGTCCGGTCGTGGGGCTTGAACTCTGGGTCTGGGCGCTGTCCCTCAGCTCTTCAGCTCAAGGCAAGCGCTCTACCACTTGCGCCACAGCGCCACTTCCGGCTTTTTTCTTATGTGTGCTGAGAAATTGAACCCAGGGCCTTGAGCATGCAAGGCAAGTGCTCTACCACTGAGCCACCTTCCCAGCCCCAAGAAACTAATATTTTTAATGAAAAAAAAAAAGCATGTTGTTATGCTGTCTGGGCTGGCCTTGAACTTCTGGGCTCAAGAATTCCTCCCTAGTAGCTCTTTAGTACCTGGGACAACAAGTGAGTATTGCCACACCCTGCTCCCCTTAAATTCAAGATCAGCTTATAAGCTGCTCTAAGCTTAACACCACCCTTATATAACCCTGACCCAAGCTTTACCCCTGGCTCATAAAGGTGGATCATAAAGCTTATCCTCAATTTTGATGGCATATACCCCTTCCCTCAGCCCTCATTTACTCATTCATCTGCTTTTCTTATTCATAGTGGTTAAGCATGGAAACTGGGAACTCACACCTCCTGGATTCAACGCTCATTTCTTCCATTCACTAACTTGCATAATAAGTTAGTGAACTGTTTAGTTTTTAAGACTCATTATCCATAAATACCACCAAAGGATTGAGTAGTCTATAACTATTAGCTATTTATTCACCCACTCAAATCACTGCCAGCAAAAAAGCTTGCTTAGTACCTGGGTATGAGGAAAAACAGAATTATAAAAATGGTAAAAAAATTGGGAAGTAGTGCTGTGGCTCAAAGTGGTAGAGGGCTAGCCTTGAGTGACAGAGCCCAGGCCCTGAGTTCAAGTCCCACAACCACAACAACAACAACAACAAAGAAAGGCTAAAAATCGTCAGATGCTGGTGGCTCACACCTGTAATCCTAGCTACTCAGGAGTTCAAAGGAAGCTGGTGAAGAAAAGTCCATGAGACTTAATTCCACTAAACTACCAAAAAAGCTGGAAGTAAGTGGAGCTGTGGCTCAAGTGGTAGAGTGCTAGCTTTGGGCATAAAAACTCAGGGAGAGGACTAGGAAGGTGGCTCAGTGGTAGAGTGCTTGCTTTGCATGCATGAGGCCCTGGGTTTGATTTCTCAGCACCACATAAGCAGAAAAAGCCAGAAGTGGTGCTGTGGCTTGAGTGGCTGAGCACTAGCCTTGAGCTGAAGAGTTGAGGGACGGCGACCAGGCCCAGAGTTCAGGCCCATGACTGACAAACAAAACAACTCAGGGAGATTGTCCAACCCCTGAGATCAAGTCACAGGACTTGAAAATGCTAAAAATCCATTTTCTGCTGGATGCTAGTGGTTTATGCCTGTAATGCTAGCTACTCATAAGGATCTGAGGTTCAAAACTAGACTGGGAAGCCAATTCCAAGAAAGATTCTTATTTCCAAAGAACCTACAAAAAGCTGGAAATGGAGATGTGGCTCAAGTGGTAGAGTACTAGCCTTGAGCAAAAATGTCAAGCAAGAGCCCAAGAGCCCGAGTTCCAGCCTGAGTGTACACACACACACACACACACACACACACACACACACACACAATCAATACAATTGATTTCCTAGTGGCTTGGCTCAGTTTCCTATTCACTGGACACACACTTATTAAGCACATTTCATCTCAGTAGTCCATGGCCTCATCCTCTCACTGAGCTTGATCTTGGCAGACCAGGTTTGAAAACAGGATGCAGTTTGAAAAATTGTTAGACGGCCAGAGCCCAGAAAGGGATCCATGCTGCCAAAAGCCATCATCTCCACAACCTTAGGCCCTTTTAAGGCTCTTGGTCTTGGCCCCTCCCCTAGCTGTGGGGAAGTCTCTCTGGAATGTGAGAGGCTTTCTGTTATACAGATAAAGAAACTGAGGCTTATAGTGGTGGGTTACACAGGGAAGGCACTTTCTCAGTGTCACCCAACTACAGAACCATGGAAATTTCTACTTGAGAAAGGAGTTTAAAGATCCCTAACCAGGATGCCCATCTTCAAGGCAGAAAACTGGAGGGCCACTCTCTGATGAGAGTGGAACCACATTCCACAATTTTTTTTTTGGGGGGGGGGGGGGTCCAGTCGTAGGGCTTGTACTCTGGGCCTGGGCGCTGTCCCTCAGCTCTTCAGCTCAAGGCTAGCGCTCAACCACTTGAGCCACAGCGCCACTTCCGGCTTTTTTCTTTTTGCTTATGTGGTGCTGAGGAATGGAACCCAGGGCCTCAGGCATGCAAGGCAAGCACTCTACCACTGAGCCACCTTCCCAGCCCGGAACCAGTTTCCTAAGTTGGTATTTGGAATAGTACATGGCCATTTTGGCAGTCATATAATTGGAGGGAGGTATATAGGTCCAGGGGACCAAAAAAGCTAAAGAAAAATGCTAGCCACGCTAAGTGGCTCCATCTTGTAATGCTAGCTACTCAGGTTCTCAGTTCAGAGTCAGCCTGGGCAGAAAAGTCCATTATCTCTAATTTTTTTGCCAGTCCTGTAGCTTGAACTCAGGGCCTGGGCCCTGCCCCTGAACTTCTTATGCTCACAGCACCACTTCCGGCCTTTTCTGTTTATGTGGTACTAGGGAATCGAACCCAGGGCTTCATGCATGCTAGACAAGCACTAGACCACTAAGTCACATTCTCAGCCCCATTATCTCTAATTAACTGGCAGAAAGCCATAAGTAGAGCTGTGGTAGAGTACTAGCCTCGAGCAAAAACACTTAGTGACAGTATCCAGGCTCTGAGTTCAAGCCCCAGGACCAGCACCCAAAAACCAAACCAAACCAAAACAAAACAACAGCAACAAATAAAACATCCTACATGGAAACAATGCCTTGTTTGGGGAAGAACCAAACACAGAAGCCAGGATTCTTGGTTTTCTGCACATGGTCCTGCCTCTTGGTGAACATGGGTCAGTACCTCCACGGACTCCTGTCTCTCCATTGGGGACACTGGGATTTCTCTGTCTTTCACTTCCTCTTCCTCCTCCTCTTCCTCCTCCTCCTCGTCCTCTTCCTCCTCCAGGTCACTGTCAACCTCCTGAGAGCCAGGCCGGTGGGGATCGGCCAAAGCAACAGGCATACTGGCCAAGGCAGGGGGCCCAGGACAGAGGCTGTGACTGGGGGCCCCATCATCACTGACGAAGCAGGTCTCTTCACTGTTGGATGGTGAGCTGATGCTGTCAATGCCACTGTCTCGGTTGGGTACCTTCTCACCATCCCGGGGCCCAGGAGCCAACAGGAACAGGCAGCGGGAGGCCTCACCCTCAGGAAGCTGGGACACTGGGGGCTGCAGGGGTGGCTGTGGCAACATAGCTGGCTCTGGGGGTCCGGGACAGGGGCCAGGGGTTGGCCTATCGGTGGTGACAATCACAGGTTCTCTGAGGCACAGGCAGAAGACATACATGGAGGCATGACATGAGCTTGACTGAGAGGGGCTTTTACAATTTTCCCTTCCTGTCCCAGACCTACCCTTCCCTACAAGGCTCTCACAAGGAAAGGACTCACCGTTCAAACTTCTCAATCAGTGAAGATACAGCTGCAGAACTGGGGCTGGCTTCTGCCCTGGGAGCCAGACCTTTGGCCACTCGAGGGTCTGCAGGCAGTGGGCGTGATGGTGGAGGAGGGATGGGTTCAGGTGGGGGAAGCATCCGGGGCATCTGCAGGTAGCTGGGCTTTGGGGGAACTGGAGATTTGGATGGGGAAAAAGAGGAGAAATGTTGATGAGCTAGATTTGGAGGTGACTATTCTAACTATGATAGCCAGGCCTCCTTACCCTCTTTACAAACCTTGTTTTAAAAATTTTAATTAATTTATTTTTTATTTTGCCAGTCCTGGGGCTTGAAATCAGGGTCTGGGCACTGTCCCTGAGCTTTTTGCTCAAGGCTCATGCTCTACCACTTGAGCCACAGTACCACTTCCAGCTTTTTGTGGTTAATTGGAGATACAAGTCTCAAAGACTTTTCTGCCCAGGCTGGGTTTTGAACTGCAATCCTCAGATCTCAGCCTCCTGAAGAGCTAGGATTTTAGGTGTGAGACACCCTACCCAGCTAAATCCCTTCTTTTTTTGCCTGGGGTATGTGCACATTAACCCCAGGGCACAGGCCTTCTGCCTGCTGCATTGGTAGCATTGCCCCTGAGACAATGGTACTTCCAGGTACTTCTTTCAGGTATATGTGCCAGTCCTGGGGCTTGAAATCAGGGCCTGAGCACTGTCCCTGAGCTTTTTTGCTCAAGGTTAGTGCTCTACCACTTGAGCCACTGCTCCACTTCTGGCTTTTTGCTGGTTAATTGGAATTAACAGTCCCATAGACATTCCTGCCTGGGCTGGTTTTGAACCACAATTCTCAGGTCTCAGCCTCCTGAGTGCTAGGATTATAGGTGTGAGCCAGCAGTGAGCACCCAGCAACCTCTGGGTACTTCTAATGAAGTGCTCTCCTCTGCTGCCAGTTAACGTCTCCCTCCTCTGTCCTCTCCCCTGGGCCATTTTTCTGTTCTTTCTGGAAATACTTACCCTGTGGCTTTGGGCCCGGTGCCCGCTTCAGTGGTGAAGGACGCTGGCTAGGGATTTCAGTGGGGGGGCCGGGGTCTGAGCGAAGCCGCTGAGGACCTTCTGGATGAGGCTCAAGGCTCTGGCCAGGGTCAAGGGACAAACTTTTAACCAGGATCCGGTTTCCCTGGTGCAGCACTACAGAAAGGAAGAAACATTAGGTAAAGTGATTGCATTTATCCCAAAGGAGACTAGGCAGTTGCATGTGTTAACCAGTATCTATAGCTCTTTCTCAATCTACACTACATTACCAGAAGTTCTTAGCCCAGTCCTCAGATGTGGGGGGGGGGGGGGGGCAGGATTGATGCCCAGGGCTGGAGCTGGCTGTTGTCACCAACAGGCAGGACTTGTCTGTGATTAACACATTGATTCTATGTATGCTAGCAGGCATTGCTAAGTTTAACTAGGCTGGGAGCAGGAGTAAGTATCCTAAATAAAGTTGGTATACATGTTTGCACAGCCAAAATGGGGATGTTCACTAAAAACCATTCTAACTTCGTGTGTGTGTGTGTGTGTGTGTGTGTGTGTGTGAGAGAGAGAGAGAGAGAGAGAGAGAGAGAGAGAGAGAGAGAGAGAGAGAGAGAGAGACAGAGACAGAGACAGAGACAGAGAGACAGAGAGAGAGTGTCCTGGGGCTTGAATTTGCTTCTCTCTCTCTCTTCCCTCCCCCCTCTCCCCCCACCTCTGCTTTTTTGCTCACAGCTGGCACTCTACCAATTCAGCCATGCTTCCAGTTATGGCTTTTCTTGGTTAACTAGAGATAAGACTCTTCTGGATTTGTCTGCTTTCAACCATGATCCTCATATCTCACCCTCTATAGTAGTAACTAGGAAGCTAGGAGTATAAGATGTGAGCCAATAGTGACTAGTTACTTCTATTTACAATGGCATTTAGAATATCTGAAATTTCTTATGTATAAATTTCTGCAGTTGAGTATACTTAAAAATGAAAAAAAAAATAAACAGGGGCTGGGAAGATGGCTCAGTGGTTGAGTGTTTGCCTTGCATATATGAGGCCCTGGGTTCGATTCCTTAGCACTACATAAGCACAAAAAGCCAGAAGTAGCACTGTGGCTCAAGTGATAGAGCACTAGCCTTGAGCTGAAGAGTGGAGGGACAGGGCCCAGGCCCAGAGTTCAGGCCCCACGACTGACCAAAAAAAAAAACAAAAAGCTAAAAACAGAGCCAGGCACTGGTGACTCACACCTGTAATCATAGCTACTCAGGAAGCTGAGATCTGAGGATCACAGTTTGAAGCCAGCCTGGACAGAAAAGTCCATGGGAATCTTATCTCCAATTAACCACCAGAAAAAACTGGAAGTGGGGCTAGGAAGGTGGCTCAGTGGTAGAGTGCTTGCCTTGCATGCATGAGGCCCTGGGTTCCATTCCTTAGCACCACATAAGCAGAAAAAAAAAGCCAGCAGTGGCACTGTGGCTCAAGTGGTAGAGCGCTAGCCTTGAGCTGAAGAGCTGAGGGACAGCGCCCAGGCCCAGAGTTCAGGCCCCACGACTGGACCAAAAACAAACAAACAAACTGGAAGTGGTTCAAAGTCGTCAAGCACTAGCCTTAGCAAAAGAGCTCAGGGACAGTGCCCAGTCCTTGAATTCAAGCCCCACGACCAACAAAAAAATATTGGTAAAACTGGAGCTCTGGGGGTGTGTGTGTGTGACATAGGTGGTAGAGAGCCTGCCTGGCAACCCCAAGGCCCTGAGTTCAAACCCCAGTATCACCAAAAAACCGATGGAACTAGGGGCCAGAATGTAATTCAGGGGCAGAGCACTACCTTAGCATGTGTGAGGCCCTGTGTTCCATCCCCAACACACACACACACACACACACACACAGATGATCCCATGTCACATAAGCAAACATTGTGCTTCTAAAAACCCCAGCTTCTCAACACATTTCTACTCCTATTCATAACACCCCCAGAATGTTTTTAAAACATAAGCAAGCCAGGTTCTGATGGATCATGCCTGTAATCTTAGCTACTCAGGAAGCTGAGAGCTGAGGATCCTGGTTTGAAGCCAGTCCTAACACAAAAGCTTGAGAGACTTTTGTCTCCAATTAAACACCAAAAAGCCAGAAGTGGAGCTGTGGCTCAAGTGGTAAACTGCCAATCTTAAGCAAGAAAGCCAAGTGAATATTCAAGGCCCTGAGTTTAAGCCCCAGTACCTGTATAAGATAAAATAAGTAAGCCAGGTGCTGGTGGCTCTCACCTATAATCCTAGCTACTCAGGAGGCTGAGATCTGAGAATTGCAATTCGTAGCCAGCTGGGGCAAGAAAGTCTGTGAGACTCTTATCTCCAGTAAACTACTCAGACAAAGTGGGAAATGGTGCTGTGGCTCAAGTGGTGGAGAGCAGTAGCTTCAAGCAAAAGAAGCTCAGGAATAGTGCCCAGGCCCAGAGTTCAAGCCCCAGGACCAGCAAAAAATAAAAATGAAAAATAAGGGCTAGGAAGATGGCTCAGTGGTAGAGCGCTTGCCTTGCATGCCTGAGGCCCTGGGTTCAATTCCTCAGCACCACATAAGCACAAAAAGCCGGAAGTGGCACTGTGACTCAAGTGGTAGAGTGCTAGCCTTGAGCTGAAGAGCTGAGGGACAGTGCCCAGGCCCAGAGTTCAGGCCCCACAACCGACAAAAAAAATATATAGGTTATTGTTGGTGGTGGTCATGGGGCCTGAACTCTGGGTCTGGGTGCTGTCTCTCAGATCTTTTGCTCAAGGCTAATGCTCTACCACTTTAAGCCACAGCACCACTTCCCATTTTTTGGTGAGTTCCATGGACTTTCTGACAAGAGTCCCATGGACTTTCCTGCCCAGGCTGGCTTTGAAGTGTGATTCTCAGATCTCAGCCTCCTGAGTAACTAGGATTACAGACAAACCACCAGTGCCTGGCTTTTTTTTTTTCATACATTTACTTATACAACCCTCAAACATGATGTCACTGAGTCACAAAGTATAGTGTCATTTATACTATATTTCAAATTGCAGGGTCACGTGGTATCACATATGGGTACACACAAAGACTACTGCCATGCAAAGTCCATTACAACAGGCTAAACATAATCTCGCACAACAGTAAAACAGCATAAAGTCACACAGCACCACATACTCAGAATCAAACACCTGCATAATTAATTGTGTCATATTCACAACACATGTCCATAGTATCCCAGCTCTTAGCCCAGGGATGCACACAATCACAAAGCCACCTGCTCTCTCTGCTTCAAAAACATACAGCTTCAGACAATAGAAGGGGTGATATTGATCAAGACACATCATACTCATAATTTATATATTACATTGAAGCCCTTTTGTACAACAATTTAAACATTAAAAAAATGCCAGGTGTCAGTGGTTCAAGCCTGTAATCTTAGCTTTTCCGAGGCTGAGATCTGAGGATTGTAGTTCCAAGCCAGCCCTAGCAGTGAAACTCTTATCTCCAATTAACCAGCCAAAGGCCAACCTGGAGCTGTGGCTAAAGTGCCAGACTTCAGAAAAAAAAAAAACCCTCAAGGACAGCAGCCAGGTCCTGAGTTCAAACCCTAACACAGTCATAAAGGGCAACAACCAAAAACCAAAACCTGAAGAGAGACAGCCACATCTTTTTTTTTTTTTTGTCAGTCGTGGGGCCTGAACTCTGGGCCTGGGCGCTGTCCCTCAGCTCTTCAGCTCAAGGCTAGCACTGTACCACTTGAGCCACAGTGCCACTTCCGGCTTTTTTTTCCTGTTTATGTGGTGCTGAGGAATCGAACTCAGGGCCTCAGGCATGCAAGGCAAGCGCTCTACCACTGAGCCATCTTCCCAGACTCACACCTTTCTTCAAAAGGTCAAACAGCCAGAGAAAGTCACAGGAGATTTAGGTCTCCCAGTCTAGGAAGGAAGGACTAGCTAACAGCAGCTTACCTAGACCCCTGAGTCCCCTCTGGCTGTAGTTTAGCAAGAGTGGTCCCAGGACACTCAAGACAAAGGCCCTTCCCAGCCTGAGGGAACATGGTCCTTATGCCCAGTGGGTCCCCCACCCAGTACCTTGCTCTAGGAGTCAGTGTCCTTCCCTACCTGAGCAGACAGGGTCGGGCCTGGACAGAGGAGGTGCTCCTCTCCTTGTGGCCCAATTGGGCTGCTTAGCTATCCTGCTCTGCATATCCTGGCAGGTCCTGCCTGCCTTCCCTCTTGAGTGTGGGGGCTGAGGAGGATGAATCACCTGGAGGGAAGCATAGGCTGAGAAATAGTTGGAAAGACACATGGCCAGAGAAAGTGAGAGATATACCGACTAGCTGGCAGAGACAAACAACCAGTAAGCAAAGCCAAGCACCCTACTGTGCAGAAAGTCACACTGGTACCTGGGGCCCAGGGACTTCCTGTTTGCCTCCTTGGACCTGTATAGGATACCTGTGGAGGCTTCCTTCTCTGTGCCTCTAAGTACATGGGCCTTCCTGGGCAAGCCCTACCCATTTTGTCAGAGCACCTGAGGGACTTCCCTTCCTCTCTGCTATACTACTAGTCCTCAGGGTTGGGTAATCCTGACATCCTCCATGATGCTGCCCTGGCTCACCCTCTGCCACTGGGAGCCCACAGATGGACTTGTCTCTTCATTCTCTCTGCTACCTTTCAGGAAACCCTACAGAATAAGAGACTAAATGAAATACATAGATTCGAGAGTGTCCTGGAGTCCCAGGTGTGGTGGACAGAGATTGTCAGCTCAGTTTCTAGTGTGGAGATGAAGGCAGAGAGAGAAAAATATAGAGAGAAGGGCAGTGATTGGCCCAAGGTAATATAGCCAGGCAGTGGCTGACTTTCAGATCTCAGGTTAGATTTTTTTCCCCTTAACTCTATTCTCCAAGGGAAGTTGGAAAAGAGGGGAATCAGGAGGGACAGAGGTGGACCCCAGTGCTTTAGGAAGTCACAAACTGAACTGATATAAGGCAATTAAAAATAATGTTTTAGCTAGGCACTGGTTGCTCATGCCTATAATCATTGCTACTCAGGAGGCTGAGATCTAAGCGTCACGGTTCAAAGCCAGTCCAGGCAGAAAGAAAAGTCCATGAAACTCTTATCTCCAATAAATCACTCAGAAAACCGGAAGTAACTCTGTGGCTCAAGTGGTGGAGCGCTAGCCTTGAGCTGAAGAGCTGA